AAGCTACTAGAAGATGGGGGATCTGGGTGGAGGAGGCCTAGTCCAGAACCAAGCAGGCTTGGAGATCTCAGCCCCGGATCCCACACACCTCGGTTCCTCTGCCGGTTCCTTCATGTGTGAGGCTCATCTGAGCATGTGGAGTGTGGTCTTAGCATAGCTCTGGCTGGGTCCCGGAGGTCCTCAGCTGCCAGGGCTCTGCTCGGGGCAGGCAGAGAGGGAAACTCAACCCTATAAATCCTTTAAACCCAATAAAACAAGAAATAGAATGAATTAAGTTTAAGTTCTACCACACCCAAAATATGGCTAGGGTACAGACACTGATTTAAAGAATCGGATAGCCCCCAAAAAAGAATAGGATAGCAAATTTATCCTTTTTTAAAATGGCACAATCCACTAACTTTTCTGTTATTAAAAACAAAACAAAACAAAACAAAAACCCTCAGCTATCTTCTATGTTCCTTTTATTCTTTTATAATGAATGGTGCAAATGTACCAAGATTCCATCATAGGTAATCAGTAAATTCCATTTACCAGGCTACATGGGCTGGAGCAATAGCACATCAGGTAGGGCGTTTGTCTTGCATGTGGCTGACCCGGGTTCATTGCTCCATCCCTCTCGGAGAGCCGGGCAGGCTCCCCCTGGCATATGTGATATAACAAAAACAGTAACAACAAGTCTGACAATGGAGTCGTTACTGGTGCCCGCTCGAGCATACAGATGAACAACGGGAGGACAGTGCTACAGTGCTACCAGGCTACATAAAGTGCAATGTTTGGAACTAAACTGAAGACAAGAACTAGTCAAGCAAGCTGCACTTCTCCTTCCTCTGAAACACCTATTTTAAGTACTGAAGGTTTTATAAATGCCAATCAATTCTGCCTTAAAATTTTTTAAAAAACAAGCTCGCTTCTCCACTCTCATGCTCCCTCATACTCCACTCTGGGCCACTGTGTGCAGGGAGGGAGAAAGAGGTTCTGCAGAAGCCCAGGCAAAAGACAGTTCATTCGGAACACTTCTTAACAGTTCGTTCAGATTATTCTGCAATGTCTAGAGTCCTTCAACTCCAGAAAAGGTTGTGGAGACTGATCAATTTTCATATATCTCTACAAATCAGGGATTTGAGATCTCAAACAGATTGAAGCTAGACTTACTCTGACCATTTAATCTTTGAGGTAACTCTCTTAACTAGCCTCTTATATCAGAGTCATACATCTTTTTTACTATGCATAAATTTCCTTTCCTTGGAACTTTTTTCTCCTGGAAAATTTCCCCCAGTGAGTATCATGACAGATTCAAGCTGTCATGGCTGCAGAGTCCATGGCGACAGCCAAAAGCTGCACCATTCTTGACACGCTGACTTTTAACAGAGCTGAGAAATGAACTCAAGTCACTGTCCAAATTGCTAGCCTTACACTTTTCTGACCAATCATCCCAGTGTTTCCAGCATTTCTAAACCCCAAAATGGCATTCAATATAAGAGAGAGAAAGAGAGAGAATAAAACATCCAGTAGGTGGAAATACCACAAAAGTCTAAAGGCAACATCAACCTGGGGAAAAAAAATACATCAATCGAGTTTCAAATATTTCTATACCAGCAATCAAGAACAGCAGTAAGATTTTAAACGTGTGGTGGGTTTTGTTGTTGTTGTTGTTGTTTGTTTATAAAATTAGAGAATGTTTTTCTTTTAGAATAATCCTTAGCTCCCACCATGCCCACAGCCAAACTCTTCAGCGTCTAGTGAAGAAGCCACCGGTCTTGGCACCTTAAGAACCCAACACGTTGGCAGAGGTAAAGAGATGATCCAGTAACACAGCCCTCACTAGTCAGCTCAGAGTGCTGCTCAGCACCGTGGCCCCTCAGTGCCTGCCAGGCAGACGAGAGAGTAACACCAAGGGTCATTTCTCTAGGGATCGCCTTAATATTCAGGAACTGCAAGAAATTCTGGCTATTTTCCTCTCTGTGTAAAGCTGTCATGATTTACTCTAATCCCTGGGGTTCTTCTCTGTGGTAGTACAATGACTTCCAAAATGCCAAAGGTAAATCAATCACCTCTTTCCTTATTGTCTTTCTAGGGACTGTGTTTATTTGGACAAGCTTTGGTTTGTCGTGGGGGGTTTTCTACTAAGCACATTACCAAGAAAAACAGAAAAAGTTTAAAAAAAAAAAAAGGCCCCCAAAACCCCCATCCCAAAAAAACTTCGTGAAGTTTAAGGAATTAAATAAATTCTATTAATTTGTAACCTATATTTCTCAAATTCAGTATAAATCTTTCTCATAAATCCCTTTGTGATCACACACACACACACACACACACACACACACACACACACAAATCATTTTAATCATTCGTTCTTGCACTGATACAAGTTTACCACAGAAAATTATTACATTTTGAACTACAATTTCAACATTATTATAATAATGCAATTTTTGTCTAAATTCCAAATTACAAAGCTATAGAGTGTGGTCACCAGGCTGAGGGCATGCTCCATGCCCAAGTGTCCAGAGCCTGAGCCTCTCCATGGGCTCTCCAGCAAGGAGACAAAAGCAGCCCTCAGCATCTCCAGATGTGCCCAAAAACTAAAAGTCAAATAAACAGACAGATGACAGAGCTAGCGCTCTACACAGACCAAGGAGGGTCTTACTACTCATCTGGAAAGATAATGCTTACAGGAAGGGTGGGAGTAGGAGAAACACCTCTCACTATTCTGCAGCACTGAGCATCGCAGCCAGTGGCCTTCACACAATGAGTCTCTTGAGGTGCCCTCTGGCATAATTGCTGAAAACTGTCACTTAGGTATAGATATACATAAGTATTATCTAGCTGCTAGATAAAATTTATTCTAGAAATACATACAAATAGAATCTCATAACCATTTCACTACTGGATACAGTCAACCAAGCTTCTAGTGACACTAATGGACTACGCAGCTTTGAATGTGAATGATGGAGCCTTTTTCCCTGTCCCCACGATGTTGCCAGTCCTGCCGTGAATGCTGTGGTGATGGTGGAGAGGACCTCAGAGCAAGAGTGCCTGCATTCAAACTGTAATCTGCTTCTGTCTTATGTGACAGGTGGATAGTCTCCTTAAAAAAATCAATTACTCAAGGCTGAGAGTGTTGCTGGAATCGGGCACCGGCTTTGCATGTGATTCGATCCCAGGTACACTGCCAAGAATGATCCCTGAGCACAGAGCAAACCAGAAGTAAATCCTAAGCACTAACTTTAATTTCACAACTTCACTAAATAGATTATGGGTTAATAAAAAGAGAGCTTTGATAACAGCATTACTTCCTACTCTAAGTGTCATAATACCATAACACAAAGTTTTCTTTATACTATCAATTTTCCTTATAATAACTTTTTAGAGATTTTTTTAGTTCATAGCAACTGTGAACAAAAGGTATAGGTCTCCTATATGCCACTCGGCCCCAATGTGCAGGGCCAATTTGGATGGGGAGGGGTGGGGGGTCTCGGGGGCGGTCTAGAGTCATTCCTGGTAGTTCTCAGGGCTTACTCCTGGCTCTGTGCTCAGGAGACAATAGGTGATGCCAGCGCTTTGATCCTGTGTTGACTACATGCAAGGAAATTGCCTTAAACCCTGTGCTATCTATCTCTCCAAACTTCATTAGCCAATTTTTTAAAAGCAACACATTATTTTCTTTGGAGGGATGGGGGGAGGGGGAAGTCAAGGCAATATTTTTAAAAAGGTAAGTGTAGGATAAGGATAACGTTGGTTTGCCCTTCCTCCCTGGCTACAGGGAGCTTGGGTTTGTTGATTGCCCCCCAATCTGTCAATTACCTTTGCCTCCTGAGCAGACTCTGCTGGCTTTTAAATACTGTTTTACTCTTCTCCTTAATGTCCTTTGCATGGTTATGACTTCAGAGCAATTGCTTTTTGTATGAACACAGGAAGACAGATAAAAATACAAGTCTGTAACTTGGGAGTTAATTGACTCCAGATAATACCTCCTCGACTTAACACTTAGTTGCCCTTATTTCCAAGATCCCCAAAAGGAGGGTCCTGAAGAGGGAATGGATGGACCCAGGGCAAGCAGCAAGCTACCCTGGCATCAAAATAGGCCTAGCCAAAGTGCCATAATGCTTAACTATAAGTTAAGAGCATGGCCATGGACAAAATCTGTCATTAATAACTAGATTTGGACCCTGCTAGGGTTAGGAATGATTAATCTGGCTTGAGCACTGTATTCCGAGTCTGTGGTGAAATGTCCCCAGGAGAGTCACTCTACAAGCCTAAATGTGTCTATTACTGTGTCTATGCAGAATGGTAAATATTAGGAAGTCCAATTAAGATGTTAATTAAGTTATGTGACTAAGGAGAGGAAAAACACACCTTAAGTGCTATTTTGCCCTTTTGCCCTTGTAGGATGCAGGTGGTCAGGAAGGCTGGAAAAACAAGTTGATTGCACTTCTAGGGGGAGGGGTGGTTTGGGGGTGTGGTTAGAGAAGAGATGATAAAAGTGGTGGCTGAGGAGGGTAGGGAGACAGAGCTGAGACAGAGGAGATAGGGTTCCTGAAAGGCAGAGTGCGAGCTGTGGGCAGAGCAAGAGACAGAGTTAGCCAGCGAGAGTTGGAGAGAGCATTGTGGAGCGAGTTATGGAGAGGGTTGGAGAGCTGAGAGAGAGAGTGGTGAGTTGGGGAGAGAGTTTGGGAGAGAATGGGAAAAAAACAGCAACTGATCAACAACCAGCTTGGCCCTCGTTCCTCCTTGTTGGTCCAAGGCAAGGGCCGTCCCAGGTTGGGAAGCAGTTCAGAAGCACCAGTGGTGGGCGAGCATCCTTCAAATTGTAATCTCTCCTAGTGGTCAGCCAGCTAAAAGCTGTTTACACAGCCTGAGATAGGAGCTTACACAGCTCTGAAAAACAGTTTACACAGCCCATAATAGGAGTTTACACAGTTAAGCTTGAGAAGTCCAACGTAAATTTAAAGTATCATTATTGTATGTACATTCACTAATGTTAGAAGTTAAATACTCACCATATAACATCCAATAAGGAAAGCAGCATTTGCTTGTTTTTTCTGATCAGAGCCAGTAAAATGAATTATTTTCTTCCTTATCATTGTAACGGTCTGCATAAAGATAAACCAATTTTTAGTGATTTTCTTGAATTTATCATTTCTGACACTCTTTTAGGAAGAGGGACAACACCCAGCTGTGCTCAGGGCTACTCCTGACTCTGTGCTCTGGTTCAATCCCCAGTACCACAGATGGTCTCCCAAACTCCCCCCCAGGGAATTGATCCCAGGACCCCCCCCCAACCCCGGTCCCGGTCCACCAAGTGCTCAGGAGTAATCCCGAAGCACAAAGTCAGGAGTAAGCCCTGAGCACTGTCAAATGTGGTCAAAAAAAAAACAATAAATAAGGGAGAATTTATCCAGGTGTTTGCCTACAGATGTCCATGTTGGAGGAAAAAAACATTATTTCCTTTAAATTATCGATATCTGGGGTTTTTCTAGCTGTATGTGAATCTAATTCTAATAACTTAGGGGCTTTGTGTTCTTGCAATTCCCTGAACTTCTGTTAGTACATGGCTGCTTTGGAGTTTTTTTTCTTGTTTTTCTAAATAAACATACATTTTCTTTCCCTGTTTTGTACCCCCCACCACTGTTATGTTTAATAAGCATATGAATAATGTTCATCATCACAGAAGTGTAATTAAGGACTATAAGATACTACCCCACACCCACGAATACACGATCCATGAAAAACAACAGCAGTAAGTATTGGAGAAGGAATGGAGGAAAAAATTATCCAGTAGTGTTGGTAGGATATCAGTTGGTATGAGCAGAGAAAAGCTCTGGGGTTTCCTCAGGAAGTGTCGGATAGAGCTGCCAGGTGACCCTGCAATCCCACTTGGAGGTATTGATCTGAAGAATCTGGATGCTATCCACCAGAGAGCTGATGCCGCCCAGATGTGGATGGTGTTCTACGGACAACAGCTAAATGGTGGAAACATGAAGTACCACTGATTGTTTTTGTGTTTTTGTTTTGTTTCAGGGCCATACCAGGAAGTGCTCAGGGGTTACTCCTGGCTCTGTCCTCAGGGATCACTCCTGGAGGGGCTCAGAGAACTATATGGGGTTGCAGATATTGAACTGGGATCAGCACATGTACTGCTGTTCTTGCCCCAAATACAGATGATTGATAACTATAGTACAATGGCTAATACTCATCTATGAAAATGGTGACACTCTGTAGACTGGGGGGTGGGCCCCCGCGAAGAGGCACACAGGCAGCCGAGACTCTCCCCACCCCCCTCAGCTTTATAGGAGTGTCTTGGAGCACAACCATCTTCCACACCCACCAACACTGGCCATGGACTTTCATCCATAACTCCACCTCCTCTAACTTCAATTGTGCATTTCAAGCACAATTGAAATTGTTTTTGTTTTTTTTTTTGGGGGGGGGGGTTGTGGGCTTGGTTGGCGGGGTATAGTTACTTTTTCAGTTTTGGGGGTCATACCTGGCAATGCTCAGGAATTACTCCAGGCAGTGCTCGGGGGACCATATGGGATGCTGGGATCCAACCTGGGCCAAGGGTGAGTGAGCAGGCAAGCACCATACCCACTGCTCCAACCCCAGGTTTGCTCTGACTGGACTCTGTTTCTTCCTCTCTCCTTTTTTATTTTTTATATCAAAAACAGATGAAATTTTTCAGCAAAATGAAATGCACTGAAGAAAATTATGCAAAGTTAAGGATCTTAGAAGAAAAAAAGGAAAGATTTGGCTGCTTTCACTCCAGTGCAGCAGGATACAGGGCGCTGGCCTTGCACGCAAGCGACCTAGGTTTGAACTGTGGTACCAAATGGTATTCTAAAGTCACAAAAGTGACCCTGAGCACATAGGCCAGAAATAAGCCCCAAGCACTGTGGGTATGGCCCAAAAGCAGAAAGGAAGGAAGGAAGGAAGGGAGGGAGGGAGGAAGGAAGGGAGGGAGGGAGGGAGGGAGGGAGGGAGGGAGGGAGGGAGGGAGATATAAAATTAACACAATAAAAAGACAATCAGAATTAGCCATAGAACTAAGATAACCTATGGAGTAGAGAGCATTTGGAGGAAGACTAGCTGTGGAGGCAGTAATTTTTTTAAGGGGTTAGGGAGATAGTACAGTGGGTAGCACTCTTGCCTTGCAAATAACAAAGGGCTTGATCCCTGGCACCACATGTGGTCCAACGAGCCCAGCCAGTAGTAAGACTGAACACTGCCAAGTGTGACCCAAAAACACAATTTTGCTTTTTTTTAAAGTGAAAATGGGAGCCAGAGAGATAGTACAGCAGGCAAGGTGTTTGCCTTGCACAAGACTGACCCATGTTCATTCATTGGCACCACGAATGTTCCCTTGGAGTCCCACCTGGAGTGATCCCTGAGCACTGCTGGGTGTGGCTCAAAAACCAAGTTAAATAAAATTTAAAAATTCAATTAAAAGACGGGTTGGCATTTTTAAAAAATAAAATAATACAAAGTTCCTGCCCCCAAATTCAGTATTTCCTACTTGAAGATTTACAGTAAATATGGAACTGGCAGCAGTTCAAAAACTCTTACTTTATGTGACCAATCAAGTTCTTTAAATAAATAAAAGGGTTCTATGTTCAAATAAACATAAATACACTTTCCCAACTCTGTGCTAAAACCTTAAGGATACGCCATTTGCCTGAACTTCCCTGCTTCTTTCATGGTATATGAAGGGTCAGAGTGAAGAGGCATATTACAGTTATCGTGGGAGATTCAAGATAAATGAAAGTGAGAAGAGCCTATTTTCCTTGTATGTTTGCTGACATTCCTTATCACAGTAAAGGCAAGAACAATAAAGAAGAGAAAGTTTCCCAAGTAAGTTTTTCGTTCCATATTTCAGAGTGGCTTACTTTATTAGCCTATCTGCGCTGGTTTTTCAAGTTAATACTTGAAATAATTGAGCACCATCAATCAAAATTTTACAGAAAGGAGAGACCCACATGTAACTTTCAATGAGAACTCTGAAAAAGGGACATAAATAGGCTCTAACTTTAAAGTTGGGAAGACAGAACAGCAGGTAGGGGACTGGCATTGTACAAGGCCCACCTGGGTTGATCTTCAGCACCACAGATGGTCCCCCATGTTCTGTCCTAAGAAATACCTGAATGCAGAGCCAGGAGAAAGTCCTGAGCACCTCAGGTGCAGTCCCCTCCCAAAAGTGAGGGGCCAAGGGGTGGGAGGGAGGATGAGGGGGATGGTACAGGGTAAGACACTTGGTTTGCACCCTGGTGTAACCTCCAATACCACATATGGATTCAGACCTTAACACCACCAGATAAAACTCCTGAGCGAAGCCAGATATATCCTGAGTACCACTGGTGTAGCAAAACAAAAGACAAAACTCACGTATATTCCAAATACCCATGTCTTAAAATATAAGACACTGTACTGAAATGGGAGAAAATATCATATACTATTACATCTGAAAAGGAGCTAACATCCAAAATATGGAAAGCACTCATGTGCTTTCTACAAAGCTCAGTAACAAAATCATAAACTGCAGAGAGATGCTGAACAGCCACTTCCTCGGGTAGACAGGCTTACTATTCGAGAAATATAAATCAAAATTAACATGAGGTGTTACCTCAAGCTAGTGAAAATGACCAATTTTTAAAAACTAGGAAACAACTAGTGTTGGGGTGATGCAGACAAAAAGGAGCCCCCATTCACTATTAGAACCAGACCATCTGTTTCAGCCACTACAGAAAATAGTATAAGGGGATAGTTCAGTGGGCATGGGGCTTGTCTTGCATGCAGCTAAGTTGGATTCAATCCTTGGCACCATATATGGTCTCCCTCTCCCCTCCCCCACCCCCACAGTGATCCCAGAGTCCAGAGCCCAGAGTCAGGAGTAGGCCCTTAGCACCACCAGCTATGGCCAAAAAAGCAAAACAAACAAAAACACAGTACAAAAACATCTTTCAAAACTTAAAAATAGAACTTTCCTATGACTGAGCGATTCTGCTTCTTGGCATCTGCCCCAAGAACACAAAAATATTAATTCAAAAAGATATGTGCACACATTATGTTCACTGGGATCAATATTTACAATAGTCAAGCTCTGGAAACAACCCAAATGCCCAATGACAAGTGAAAGTATAGATAAATGGAAACATATACATTCAATGGAATAGTACCTCAGATATAAGTGAAGATAAAAACTTGCCTTTTACTACAACTTGGATGGAACTAGAGGGTGTTATGTAACGTTAAAAAAAAAGGCAGAGAGAGAAGACTGGTGTTGCATGATGTCAATCATATGTGGTAAAAAGAGAAACAAAGGCAGGCACGAACAAGGAGCACAGCCCTGTACTCACTGAGAGTACCATGGAGGCAAGGGACCCACAACTAGCAGCGACATGTGATGGTGATGATGGGAGTGCACTAACTTTGTACACCAAAATGCCTCTTGAAACAACACTATTATAAATCATGCTACCTTAATATTTTTAAAAATAAATTAAAACATTTCCTTTGCTTTGTTTTCGTTTTTAAGGGGTCACACCTGGTAATGCTTAGGGGTTACTCCTGGCTCTGCACTCGGGAATCACTCCTGGAAATACTCAGATAACCAGAGGGAACACTGGGGGCAAAGACCTGGGTCAGCTGCCTGAAAGGCAAGTGCCCTCCCTGTTCTACTGTCATTTAACCCTGATATTTTTCTTTCTTAAAACATATATTTTCCTATATATTTTCCTTCCACGTCCCTTCCCAAGAAAAAGTTAACCATCACTTAAATCAAATACTAAGTAAAATAAGACTTTACCTTTAATTTCTTATTTATCTTGCAACAATATCTGTAAATCATTGCCAGATTAAGTGGTCCAAAATCTGCGTAGAAGCTTCAAGAATGAAAAACAAAATAACAAGGTCTATTCTAAGTGTTCTAATATAGATTTTGGAACAAGATCAAATTAAGACAGAAAGGCATACACCAAAATGTGAGTCTCATACCAGGTACAACTTTTCTAATTAAAGGCATATTCTGGTAAACGGCATCTTTTGGAAAGCATGACAAATCTAGCCACAGAGAATATATGAAAATACCTCCGAACAGTTTTGTACACATATTTTCCACAGGCAAAAACATAACTGACTTAAATACACTAGTTTATATTTTGTTATACTACAAACTTTTATTTCACATGTAAACCATTAAGCTTAGGAAGGTTCTTTCCTTTTCTCACCACCTCCCATCTATTTTATTATCAAAGGCTTAAAAAAGAATTTTGCAAATATCTACTTACTTCTAATTTTCCAAAGCTAATAAAAAAAAGTTAATAACAATCTTTCAAAGGCAATACTTACCTCTCATATTCAAGTTCATTATCTATGCTGAAATAATGTATATTTGATGAACTCTTTGGTCTGCTGTAGAGAATGGCAAAACAAAGGCGATCTGAAATGGAAAAATTGCAATGTTCCTTCCTTCAAGTTACTAAAAAAAATTTCCTATAGAACGATATGCTCTTCAGATGAAGTAAATTTTGTTTCCATGCATGTTCAGATGGTATGGATGCCAATGGGAAGTTTCAAAATGTTCTGGCTATTCTGGTGGGAAGCAATAATTTAGCAAAAATTTAAAGGAAAAATATGTCTTTTAGTTTCAGTTGTGCTAAGTTGCTTTTCACGTAGCCATACGATTGACATCTAGAAAAAGAACTATCACAAACTAGTTTCTCTGAGCTAAGAAACTTCAGCCAAATGTAGCGTGCATTCATCTGAAGGCCAGCCATCGACCGGAATGACCTTCTCTGGGGTCCCCAAAGTTTTCAAGCTATCAATGAAAGTTGTCTAGTAAGAAATTATATATTTTAAATAAGGGCGAAAAATAAGTGAGGGCTAAAGTACACAAACACCAAAATAAGCCAACATAAGATCACAAAACTGTTCTTAGGAATTATCACTTGATTAAAAAAAATCAGAATCACAACTTCTGTAGTGCGTGTGTTTGTGCACGTGTGCACCTCTGCGTGTGTGCGTGCATGTTGTGTGGGTGTGCATGCAGAGTGTGACTGCGTGTGCGTGGGTGTGCGTGCACACGTGTGTACATGCACGTGTGGGTGCATGCAGCGTGTGGCTGCGTGTGCGGGGGTGTGCGTGCACACGTGTGTGCATGCACGTGTGGGTGCATGTGCACGTGCGTGGTGGTTTTTTACAGTCAGGCGGGTGCGCAGAGATGAAGCGGTGAGGGCTCTGCGTGAGCCTAGTCCGAGTCACTGCGACAGCAGCAAGGGCACTACGCAAGGCTCTGCGCGACACCCACACCCGCGGCGCCCAGAGACATCGCCCAGCCCTCCCAGCAACACACAGGAGGGAGGGAGCAGCGTGCGCAGAGAACACGCACAGCGGGGCACAGTAGCTCAAAGAACCACTGCGGGCACCCGGCGGCAGCCCACTCGCTCTCCGCGCTGGCTCCCCCCTGCCCAAGCGGCCACAGGAGGCCTCACGCCGGCCACCGCAACCCTTGAACCCTGCCCTCCGGCTGGACGCGGCCCCGGCAGCAGGAGGCCCTGCGGGTCACTCGGACCCGCACCTGCACCTCCCCTGCTGCAGCAACACAGGCCGCACTCACCTTTGATCACCTCGGCCACCAGGGTGCCGGCACCCTTCCGACTCATGACTGCGAAGCATCTGGAAGGCCCGGGACCGGCGGCGGCGGAAGGGAGAGGAGGCGCCCGAGCACACCCCGAGTCCGGGACGAGAACTTTAAAGGGCCGCGCCCGCGCCCGCGCCGCGACCCAGGCTGCGGGGGCGCCTGGACCGGCGGGCGGGCTCCAGGAAGGGCGCCTCCGGGCACAGGGGCCTCCCAGCTAGGGGCGCGCCCGGCCAGGCCCGGAGGGGCGCGGGGAGGAAGGGGGAGAGCGAGGGCGCCGCAGCAGACGGGGGAGGGCCGAGGGTGGAGGGACACTCGAACCCCGGTCACACCCAGCTCTGGGCCCACCTACTACTGCCCTTGACCCGCCCACACCCAGCTCCGGGCACGCCCCTCACGCGCGCACCCAGCTCCGGGTCAGTCCTGGCCCGCCCACACCAGGCTCGGGGTGCACCCGCCGCCCGCCGGCAGCACACTGGCGCCCAGCTCCGCAGGGCAGAGATTGAGGGAAGTGCTCGGGCGGCGACAGAACTTTCCCCCAGGTAAAGGTGCCCCTGAAAATGAAGTGATGGGTTCTTTCAGAGGCCCTGGGTCTCAGCGCGGAAAGGCATGTGGACGGCCGGGGGACCGGCGGGGCAGCGCACTGAAAGCATTGGTAAATTGATGCTAACTTGTTTAAAGATCTTCGCAGCAATAGACAAAAATAGACAGAATGAGAAAGACTGTAAATTAATCCCAAAAAAGTGTTTTAACTTTATGTTACTTCAAAGAACTAAAGTGAAACTTTGTACTTTGAGTTACTATTTTCCCTTCAGACTGACAAAAGCCAAAGGACCTTGATAAGGTGCCATGTTTGTGAGGTTGCAGAAAAACAGACACGCAATCGGGTCTACGAATGTAAACTGGAGGTTGTCCAGTTTACATTCGTAAACCCGACTGCGTACCAGTTTACCACAAGGAAGCATCTCATGAAGTTAGCTCAGTACAATGCAACTTGGAAAATCAGAGAACTTGCTAAGAAACCTGTTCTGATTTCTACCACTGCCTGAAATCTAATGTCTAACAAACCCCAAAAAAATGAAAGTAGCTACATTTAAGTGGAAAGAAGTTTCCCAGGCCCAACTCAAATATTCAAGGCGGGAGAAAGTACAGTGGGTTTGCCTTGTACACAGACAAACTGGGTTCCATCCCCAGAACCAAATATGGTCCCCTGAGGAAGCCAGGAGTGAGACCTGAGTGCAGTTAGAAGCCCTGAATACAGCCATATGTGGCATAAACAACTCCCTGGGGACCACCAGCCAAATTTCAGTTCTCCTGGGGGTATATGTAGGAATGAGGGAAAACAGCTAACATATTGACAGGTGGGGTTGGGTAATACCCAGCATGCTGGGGGCTACTCCTGGCTCTGACCTGGGGGTAAAGGGATTTAACCAATTGTGGGGTGTTTTGATGTCCAATAACCTTTGCACAATATACAGTTTCAAAATACTGTCATAGGATTAGTTGGCAGTAAACTTCTGAGGCTACAATGCTAGAATGAGAGTGAGTTTTCTGGAGTCAGAAAGAGGGTTTGCAATCTTGTTACCATGATTTGAGTGCTTGGGACTTAAACACATCATCCTGGGCCTGGCTGGTGAATCTTCTCTTCACAGGTTTGATTTTTAACAACAAAGCTGATACCCTGCCCCTCCTGCTTCTTCATTCAAGTTCACATGTTTAAAAGGAAATGAGGGCTGGAGTACAGCGGGTAGGGCATTTGACTTGCAACAGTCGACCCAGGTTCAATTCCCATATGGTCCCCCAAGCACCACCAGGAGTAATTCCAGAGTGCATGAGCCAGGAGTAACCCTGTTGCAATGCCAGGTGTGACCCAAAAAGCAAAGTAAATAAATAAATGGAAGTGAAAGCTTACAACTTAAAAAATGTCAGATATTCTAATCCATCCTTGCACCAAAACTGTCTGCAGTACTGGTTTGGCTTTTGGTTTGCTACCTTTTCCTTTAATAAATGTTACCCTAATTAAAAACGTTTAAAACCATTAATATTTTATTTAAAAACATTTTCCTGCATAAGTATATCTAACTGGGAACCTATTAAGAACAGGAAACAAGTAACAATAATAACACAGTATCTACGTTTATTTTCTGGGCATTCCCCAGTGGATCCTGAGAGGCCTGCTAGGGACCACTAGGGGACTTCACAACGCTTGGGGGTAGGTAGGGAACACACAAGGGAATGCTCCACGCCTCAGAGTTCAAAGATCTGCCACTAGCTACTTCTTCTAGAAGAAACTGAAATTTTGACATGGATCTGTAAATTCATGGGCTTGTAACTGTTTCTGCTCTCCCATGAACTTGGCTGACTTTACATTCGAGTGCCAGATTTCCCTATAGTACAGTCTACTTGATGGTCACTCAGGCTCTTCCTGAATACTTCTTAAAACTTTGAGGGCCAAACATAAGCTATAGGTTGGCAATTGGTCAAAAGACATGGTTATAGATTAACAATAGGCCCACAGATGTCGACTATGGGTTAGTCCTTCACAAATGAGGGCACGGGAGACCCTGGAAGAACTCCTGCTAAAAATACTGATTTTAAAAAATGAGGTATTACCCTGCCTTAAATGATGACAGCTAATCATTATTTAAAATTTAATGACATATTGTATTAAGCTCAGTAACAACCCAGGAAGTAGGTACTATTACCAGTGTTCTCTGGGGAAAAAAATTGTTTGGGGGCTACACCTGGCAATGCTCAGGGCTTACTCCCAGCTCTGCTCAAAGATCACTCCTGGAAGGCTCAGAGGCATTAAACCCAAGACAGCCACACACAAGACAAGTACAGGCACCTGGGCCCCCAGGCGGAGTAGAAATAGCAATAAAAATAAAACAAACACAAAAGTATCTCTCCCACCAAAACCAAGGTAAGGAAAAAAAATCTGGTTACCAATGCTTCCATGGTAACAATATAGTGACTGGAAGTACAAAGTGGTGCCAAGAAATAAGAGAAGAATTGGAAAGAAACAGAGTTGTACTTATTTATCAGCAATGATTCTCTTAAGACATACAAGAGAATCTCTAGGCAAACTAAGAAGAAAACTGATAAACTATTGCAGTTACTAGATATAGATGCATAAAACACAAGAGAATTTCTCAGCACTGATTATGAGCTTTAAAAAAATTACCTCTCCTTTATACTTATATGGAAGAGTAAAGCAGGTTTATAAAATGGAAGACTTGATATCACAAAAGTTTATCTCAAACAAAATGAAATCTCAGTGGGTTTTTTGTGCAATCTGACAAGTTCCCCCTTAAATAAATATATAAAGCCACAGAAGGGGCCAGAAAGAACAATGGGTTGAGTGCTTACTTTGCATAAGCTGACCTCAGTTCAATCCTGAACCTCACTAGGAGTGATCCCTGAGCACAGATGGGTGTGGCCAAAAGAAATAACAAAAACCCTACAACAAAAAATTTAAAAATTAAATTTTCCTTACAGAAGGATTTCAAGTAATATATATCAATACTTTCCTGCAGGGGTAGAGATTAATCCCTCCCCATACTGAGTAGAGCTAGAATTCGTGTCTGCTTCTGAAAATATATTATGGAAAAGCAAAAACACAGACCCTGATAGGACAGAACCGAAGAAGAGCGGTGCTTCTTCACTGTGGTCTTCATCCCAAAATTCAGTCATGCTCATTTCAAAAAGTCACGGTGTGAGAGGCAGCCTACAAAACACCTGGTCTGGATGTGATTTCAGCACGATCAAGCTCATGAAAACAAGAGAAACTCACAAACCTCAGG